CAGAAATTAATGAAATTGAGACAATGAAAACAATACAAAGAATTAATGACTCATAGAGCTGATTCTTTGAAAGATTAAATAGAATTGATAAACCCCTAGCCAGCCTCATCAAAAAAGGAAGAAAAAAAAAACTCAAATGCAAGCAATAAGGAATGAAAAGTGTGAAATTATCACAGACTCTCTGAAAAATCCATTCATCAATACCTATTTTGAAAATCTTTACACTCACAGAATCCAATACACAAATGAAATGTACAGATTCCTGGATAGGTACAAATTACCAAAACTGAATCAAGAAGATATAAAAACTCTGAATAAACCAATATCAGCCAATGAAATTAAAAATGTAATTTAAAAAAACTTAACAACAAAGAAAAGCCCAGATCGTTGTGGATTTGCAAATGAATTCTACAGGAAATTTAGAGATTTAATCCCAATACTTGTTGAACTCTTCAAGAATTTGAAAAGGAAGAAATCCTCCCGAAATCATTCCTGCAGGCATGTATTATACTGATACCAAAACTGGAGAAAGTCTCAACCAAAACAAGAATTACAAGCCAATCTCCCTCATAAACACAGATGTAAAAATCCTCAATAAAATACTAGTAAACAGAATGCAGCAAATAATTAGGAAGGCTATATACCACAATCAGATAGAATGCATCCCAAGGATAGAAGGATGGTTCAACATATGCAAATCTATAAATGTAATACACTATATCAATACAGCCAAAACCAAAAATCACATGATCATTTCAACGGACACAGAAAAAGCTTTTGACAAAATCCAACACTCATTGATCATCAAAGCCCTACAGAAAATTGGAATAGATGATCTATATCTCAATCTGACTAAAGCTATCTATTACAAAGCAACAGCCAGCATAATCCTAAATGGAATAAAAGAAGGTTTTACTATGAAATCAGGTATAAGACAAGGATGTCCGCTATCACAACTCCTATTCAGTATAGTTCTGGAAACATTAGCTAGATCCATTAGATAAGAGAAAGAAATAAAAGGAATAAGTATAGGTAAGGAAGAAATTAGACTATCATTACTCACAGATGACATGATACTCTACATGGAAGATCAAAAAAACTCCACCATGAAGCTACTAGAATTAATAAACAAACTCAGTAGCATAGCACGGTACAAAATTAGTACTCAAAAATCAATAGCATTCTTCTTAAAGACAAACTCACTGAGAGAAATTAGAGAAACAGTATGTTTCACAATAGCATCTAAAAAAAATAAATACTTGGAAAATAATCCAACAATGGAAGTAAAAGATTATGCAATGAAAATTACAATACTCTAAAAAAGAGATGGAAAAAAAATTTCAGAAAATGGAAAGATATTCCTTGCTCCTGGATAGGCAGAACCAACATTGTGGAAATGGTCATGCCCACAAAGTTGTTATAGAGATTTAATGCAATCCCTACCGAAATACTAGCAACATACCTCACAGATCTAGGAAAACATTTGTAGAGTTTATTTGGAACCAGAAAAGACCTAGAATACCAAAGGCAATCCTTTGCAACAAAGGCAAAGCAAGAGGAATCACAATCCCTGACTTGACACTTTAAAATCAGCATGGTACTGCAAAGAAACAGACCCAAGGATAAATGGAACAGATTAGAAGATGCAGATACAACTATAAATACACTTGGCCACCTTGTCTTGGACAAAGGGCTAAACACATTCGCTGGAAGAAAGATAACCTCTTTAACAAATGGTGCTGGAATAACTAGCTCTCCACACACTGAAAAATAAAATAGACCTGGGTCTACCACCATGACTAAACTAAAGTCAAAATGGATTAAAGATCTAAACACTAAAATAAAGATACTAAATCTTCTGAATGAGGAAATAGGTAGATATCTTGAAAACATGCAGGTAGGCAGAGAGATCATGAACAAAACCCAAACTGCATGGAAATACTTCAAAGAATCAAAAACTGCTATCTCATCTTATTGAGAAGTTTCTGCACATCAAAATAATCATCATCATCATCATCATCAATCATCGTCATCATCATCACGAGGGTCAACCAAATAGCTCAGTGGATTAAAGTGACTGCAAGCAGATACAGGGGCTGGGAGTTCGATCCCTGGACATGCTGTGCCAGCCCAGCCCCCAGGGCATACTGAGATGGTGATTGCAACTGGGCATGGTTGCAGGTGCCTGTAATCCCAGCACTTGGGAGATTCTAAACAAAAGAATCACCATGAGTCCAATCTAGTAGTGAGACCCTGAACACCTTGTTCAGACCCTTCCTAAAATATAGTGGAAAAAAAAAAACACCAACAGAGTGAAAAGACAATGAATTTGGAAAAATCTCCCATCAATTGGGAGAAAAATCTTTAATAATTACTCAAAGGACTTCTATCTAGAGTATATAAAGAAGTAAAAAGTATGTATTCCCCCATAATTCAAAGACCTGATCCAAAAATGGTCATCTGAAATGATTATGCACTTCTCACAGGAAGAAATATAAGTGGCAAGTAAATGCATTAAAACGTGTCCCATATCACTGGTCATTGAGAAATGTAAATTAAAACAACACTGGGATACCATCTTACCCCCAAAAGAATGGCTGTCATAAAGAAATCAACTAATAACAAATGCTGGAGAGGCTGTGGAGGAAAAAGAACCCTTCTCCACTGCTGGTGGGAATGTAGACTGGTGCAACCATTACAGAAATCAGGGTGGAGACTCCTCAAAAGCTAATATTGAGGTTCCATCCAAGCTAGCTATTGCCCTCCTGAGTATTTTTCCAAAAGAATTGAAGACATCATACCACAATGATATATATGCACATATGTTTATAGCAGCACAATTTGTCATAGCCAAATCTTGGAAACAGCCAAAATGCCTATCTCCTTGGGAATGGATAAAAATGATTTTTTATACAATGGAGTTATTACTCAGCTATAAAGAAAAACAAACTTGAGACTTTTATAGGTAAATGGATGCAACTATAAGCTGAACTCATAAGTGAAAAAAATTAGTCCCACATTTGTTAACATTATGTCATCTCCCTAGTGTAAGAACCTGAAAGAATAAAATCTGAAAGGTGTAATAGATACAGTAAAATGTTAAGAAACTGAATATAAGGAATAAACAAAAAGATGGATAGAAAAAAAGAAAGTTTAAAAGGTCAAGAAAAAAATTTTAAGGTTTATTGAAAGCAAGCATAAATGTTCAATAATAGTCCAATCTTGCAAATTTATATCTGTCAATCTGAAAAACAGATTTGATGATAAAAATGCATAATATAACAACCATTATTAATTTGCTACTCTTATTTTGAAAATATGTATTTTGTATGTTACTGTTTTTGTCTCTGATTTTGCTATTTGATTTTGCTTTTTCTTTTGGCTTTACTCTTTAAAATAAAATTGAAGGGCCCATCAAATAGCTCAGCTGATTAAAGTGCCTGCTTAGGTAGAGGCAGGGGCCAAGAGTTTGATTCCTGGGCCTGCCATGCCAGCCCTGAGCCTGGGCATGCTAAGAAGGCAATTCAGACTGGGCGTGGTGGTACATGCCTGTCATCCCAGCACTTGGGAGGCTGTAAACAGGAGGATCACTACGAGTCTGATTGATGCAGTATCACTTCTTGGCCTTTTGGCTAAGGTCAAGTATGATTGATGCAGTGAGACCCTGTAGACCCTATATTTTCTGTCCAAAATACAATAATAATAATAATAATAATAATAATAATAATAATATAAAATTGAATTTAAAAAATAAATTAAAAGAACATAAAAAATAAACCACAAGTGCATAAACATATTCTGTATGGGAGGCTCTGTTCTCACTGTCCAGAAGCCATCAGGAATTAATAAAGAGTCTATATTACATAATATCTTACCTAAATATTTTAAAATTTTTTCCTGCATGTAATCTGCATGGAATTTTTTTACGTTGATATCCTCCTCTTATTGATTGGCTACTTTAGGCACTAAATTCATCAGGAATTCTGAAATAATACAGTTGTCATCACCAGTTACAGTTCAAAATCTCATCTTGATACAGACATGCTGAGCTAAAATTATTTTAAGAGGGGAGGGATCTTGTCTTTTAAAGTCCTGAATGCAAACCTCAAAGGATTTCTCCAATTGTGCACAGGAACAATGAGAGAAGTGATCATGGAAATAGTTTTGCTTTTGCTTTTGTTTTTGTTTCTGCTTTCAAAAAGTTAGATCACTTGAGTGTCCCTAAGTGCCCAACTCTCAGGCTTCAGTACTAAGTGAAACATTCATCTAGAAAGCACTCACTGCCAGCTCTTACTCATTTTGGTTTCTGAACATCAGAGAAGGGATGTTTTCTACACAAAGGATATATCTATCTGTAAACCATGCTAGTGATTAAATCACAACTCACCAAGCCTGCTGGGCTAACAATCTAAAGAGAATTATAGACTATTCTGGGCTGCAGAATCTTGTTATTAATCAAGGACTCAACAAACAATGTATTTTAAATACTGCATTCCAGCAGATGTGGAAAACAGATTCATGCATTCATAGAAACCTCATCAAAATTTAAAAACTGTTTAGTCTTTCTTCTGGTTATTCTACCTCACTTCTAGGATTCTTTTGCATAAATTATACTTCCACAAGAGCAATAAACATGCATGCACACTAAGCATTGCTTTAACCCACAAAAGACTTGAAACAATGTAAAGATCTATCAATATAGGTCCAAGGAAATAGCTCAGTGGTATAAGTCCTGCCTGGCAAGTGCAAGGTCCTGAGTTCAATCCCTGCTACTGAAAAAAAAAATCTAAAGTTATATCAATATAATAATGCACTAAATATTTAAATATATTTGTATAAATATATTTAAATTTATGTATGTTATGCTAATTGAAAAACAAATGGGAGTGGGGGGTGAGTCAAGAACCTTATATTAGCAGGTGGAAGCCAATTCTTTTCCCTACCTCATTCCAAGTTTTGTGTTCTTGCAAGAGCAGGAGCCCCTTTAGCCAGTTTCTTACCAAACATGACTATGTCACCCATCAGGAAGGGACCTCCAAAGATGAAGCGGATTTCATCAGAGTGGTCTGCTTTGACAAAGGCTGGTTTTGTGTCTTCAAAGCATTGGGGCCGGTGTTGAAACTCATAGAAGTAAACAGGTGCACCAGCATCTGACAAAAGGTCAGAAAGATCAGGCATGAATTTCACTGGAGCAAAGGGCTGGTCCTTCATCCCTCCCTATGAAATCTAGGGATATGTTACCATAAGCAGTACAGCTCAGAGATAAGAGATGATCTAAACCAGCCTAACTTTCCCTTTTCATTTGAGGCTGGCATTTTCTGCTACAACAATCCTGGTGACACAGCCTGCAACCATTCCAGGGAGTCAGAGTAGGCAATTGTTCTCGTCTGCAACAAAAGCCTTTTGTGCTAAGCCAAGGTCTACCTTATGATTCTTTCTCATTGATTCTGATTCCAATGTCTAGTGATAAACAGAGTAAGACTAATTCCCTGCTTCAAAGAAAACTGATAATCCATGCATGTAAACCTATATGCCTTGACCTCTCTTCTATTAAAGGTCTTTGTTCTGTCCTTGCCAACACACGTGTGCACACACACACAAACATGAACAAAATTTCACAACAAAGTCACATATGTACATATTAGTGCACACACACACAGTTTCCATTACCCCTCCAGTTGTTGGACCATTTCTCTGCATCTCTTCATGAAAGACCTTACAATATAGCTGCCTTGTGCATTGTCTGCACTTCTCCTTTTATGCTCTTTTAAAATTGAAATACTATTTATAGGTTAAAAATGTACCGATTTTAAATGCAGTGTTTGGTGTGTTTTTACAAATATATATAT